AACTATGCCCATGGTTCGTTTTGTCGTACCAGAAAACCCTTGTATACCAATTTTCACTGTTATACATCAAATATTGTTCGAAATATTTAAAAAAAACTATTTTAGAAAGTAAATTTAAACACCCTGTATTTCGGAAGCCACGCATTTTTCGACCCATGTTTATATAGACTTTATGCATTAATTTTAAAAGTTCTATCGAATCTTAAAGTTATGCAACAATAAACTGAAACACCCTGTATATCTTCTATAGTGCATTGAGAAAAATTATTTGTTAATAGGTTATTTTTAGCAAAAATGCAATAAAACAACTAATCGTACTTCTCTGAAGCCGCAACGATTGACAACGTCGCTTACGAAGTTATCATATAAGAAGCGTAAACGCATTCGAATGTGTCATTGAGTTTTCGTGTTGACGGAGCAATTTCTCATTCGAATTTTCTTTATTTTTGTACGCATTAATCTTTTTTTTTGCGTATTTGCGAAATTAATAATGTTGAAGCATTCCAACATACAGAAAATGATTAAATTCCCAACTGGAGGCTGTAATTTTGCAGATTTTCCATCTTGATTATCTTGAGACTAAAAAATTTGCAAGAAATATACGTCGTGTAAAGTCCCAACTCCTGTAGATTTTGCCGAGGCACTTACTGGTCACGCAATCCTTTGAAAATCTCTGTGAACAAATTGCCAATCGTCATCATTACTTCGTGATAGTGATACTGGAAAGCCATTTCCAAGTCCAATCCTGTGAATTCAGTCAAATGCCTGTGCGTGTTGGAATCTTCTGCTCTGAACACAGCGCCGACGGTGAAGACCTTCTCAAAATCTGCAGCTATCGCCATCTGTTTGTAGAGTTGGGGACTTTGGGCCAAGTAAGCAGATCCTGAAAATAACGATCCAGCACAAATAACATTGCCGTAATTTCTCCTGGTACATCAGCGATTTGGAAGAAGACTCGTTCTCTGGCTGATTCACAAACCTGTTGGCGAAATCTAGATTTACCTTTGAAGTAGCTAACGGTGAAAACGTTGGCGCCACCCTCAGAAGCCGCGGAAATAATTTTCGGGGTGTGAATCTCTACGAAGCCCTTCTTGGTTAAGGAATCTCTGAAAAGACGGCAGACGCCCGCTTCGAGTCTGTATATTGCTTGATTTGTTGGTGTGCGGAGGTCAAGGATTCTGTTGTCTAGTCTGGTGTCTTGGTTGACACGGATGTTAAGGCTGTCACCGTCATCCTGAAAATATAAAAAGTGAACGCGGTATTTGCCATAGAAGAGAAAATGATCTAAGTGATGAGTAAGACCTTAATATCCCAGGAAGTATCTTTCTAACGAATGTTGCCAGGCCCAAAATTGCGTCAAAAATTGTTAGAAAATTTTTTTTGTAACAATTGCAGAATATACAATGGACAAAAGTATATAGATAAATTAATATTGCGCTAATATATATATATATATATATATATATATATATATAGGTGAAAAATTAAAGCTTCCGCCTTTTGTTGGGTACTTCGACAAAATTTAAGCAAAGAGGCCTCTTTATACTTTTTTTAATTCTCTCTAGCTTTCAATGGACTTTGCCATCATCATCAGGAGCTGCAATTACAATGATAACAGTAGCAACAAAAGTGTAAAATGAATTTAAATTGAATCAACTTACAGTAGTATGTAGTAGTATGATTAAAATTATATAAAATATGACAAGACAAGTTAATGACATTAAAAATTATTTAGAAAACATTATAGCATTACGTGCAATCATCAAGTGGCTTCACGACGTAATGCTCTAATGTTTTCTAAATAATTTTTAATCTGTCTTTAACTTGTCTTGTCATATTTTATATAATTTTAACCATTGTACCATGTATCCAGCTCTCACCATGTTACTGGACGTTTCCCTCATCCTATACGAAAACAACAATTAGCAACATCCTCACATACTACTGTAAGTTGATTCAATTTAAATTCATTTTACACTTTTGTTGCTACTGTTATCATTGTAATTGCAGCTCTTGATGATGATGGCAAAGTCCATTGAAAGCTAGAGAGAATTAAAAAAAGTATAAAGAGTCCTCTTTGCTTAAATTTTGTCGAAGTACCCAACAAAAGGCGGAAGCTTTAATTTTTCACCTATATATATATATATATATATAATATATAATATAATATATAAATATATATAAATTCATTAGACTCCTGTCAATAAAAAATTAATTGAAAAAACTGGAACTATGAAGGACAAAAATATATAGACAAAGCAAAACAATTATAGAAAAAAGAAGCAAAGTTCATTGAATTATAGAAAACCAACCATGTTTGTGTTAATATTTTGTAGCATAACCATTATTATCAATCACAGCCTGGCATCGTCTCGGCATAGATTGTAGAAGTTTCTTTATAAAAGATTCATCAATCTGTCTCTACTTTTGCTCCAAAGCGGCAAAAAGTTCATCTTTGTTTGAATAATTTTTATCTCGTATTTGCTTATCTAAGTATTCCCATAGATTTTCAATGGGGCTTGTATTGGGAGACTGTGAAGGCCATTTGAGAACTGGTATTTTTTCATCCAGAAAGAATTTCTTCGCGAAAGTGTGCTGGGTCTTAAAATCACTCAATTTATTCCACAATACTTGAAGAACACAAACTAATCCTCTTCTGACATGAAACTGTACTAAACTAATGTTGAAATGAATTTGTCTACATATTTTTGTCGCTGATAAAAAAGTGCTTATATTCAGACTTGTATTGTGTTCATTGCAGATAATGTAAAACCAAGGATATTTAGTTTTTCTACTAATAACGCATTTGTTTATGGAGCAATGAAGTATGAATTCGTTTTCTAAAGGTATTAAGGTAAATATTCATATTTGTCTATATACTTTTGTACAATACTGTACATTGTACACACACGTGATTAACATACAACATTACCCTGTAAAGCGATTGAGGATTTCATTAATGGATGTTTGAGGAACATTTAGGATCTTTAGCTACATCAAAATTTTCGTTTTTGCATATCATTTTTTAGTTTCAAAAATAGCATTTTACACTTTATCAAATATTAAATAACATATCTCCAAAACTATCAACTTCAGAGAAAAGTTGATAAGAATTTCTGCTTACAATGGCCCAAAAACAAACAAAAAAAACCTTGGAGTGGAAAACAATTTTTTGGAATTTGTTTCTGAGCAGATGTGTAGTTGCTTTCTGAAGGTTAAAGTCACAACTAAGGAATATAAACAATACAATTTTGTATATTTTCTTGATTTTACCTCAGCTTTTTCAGGCCTGCTTGCATCTTCAATTTGTAAAGGCAACTGTGGTGAAGACTGTGAAACAATCCATATTTGAGAGGCTAGAAGCTCAACATCTTGCTGAGTACAAGCAGCTATGTTACTTGGCACTTGTGCCACTTTTGCTTCAACATCTATTATACTCTCTTTAGATATGCTGAAAAAAAAAAGAATTGACTCTCACATGTTGTACACAATCTCAAAATGTTATGGGAGCAAAAATTCCATTTTGATTTTGAATTTTTACAAACATGAATGTTGGTGTATAGTCTGGTAATTGAAACACCAAATGAGAATATGGCCATTAAAAAATAGTAAAGTAGTCATGTTGAGTTGGAAATCTACCTAAGAGACGAATTTTCATCCAAGCAAATAATTTGACCCTCAACCATTGGAATCTCAGAAAAAAGGAGTCAACTAAATGGGGATAAAGTTGCACATTTAAGTAACTAAGAAAATAGCACATAGAAACCTCTGCAGTTCCAATTTTTGAAACTGTTGACCTTAAAAATCCTCAAATATATCTTTGTATTGAAAAAAATTGTATTTTAATCCCCTTAACTTGATGAATCACTGAATGGAAATATTTATGAGCAAAAGTTGAGAAGTAGTAGTAGCAGCAGGCCTCAATATTTCTAAAAATACTCACTTGCTAGCAAACTTGACCATAGACTTTGATACGGTTTCAGAAACATTCACCAATACTTGCACAGTATATTCTCTCTGCCTTAGAACAATAAAGCATTGTTTCCCTCTAGCACGGACAGTATGCAGCCTAGCTCTTACCCAAACTACCTGTCCAGAAACTGACTTATCCAGATCCTTAACGTAGGTGAACTTTTTCTGCACGGCAAACTGCAGTTGCAGTTTGCCATACTTTCCAACAGACACATCACCTTCAAGATAAAAATAATAGGTACTTCATCTTGCAATATATTTTTAAAACATACCTTCCTCAGGGGCTAAAGTTTCATTTTGAGTATGTGCCTTGTGCTCAGCTTTCTTCGCCGCTTTTTCAGCTTTTTTTGCCTCCTTCTTTTGAGCTTTCTTGCTCTCGCTTTTCTCCGAAGTTTCTGTCGCTTTACTGTCCACCATCTTTGCGAATTATACTATTTTTATCTTATCATATCACTATTTATCAAGTATTTACCATAAGGTGACATGAGGGTGTTGAGAATCTAACCTCAGTCAGAAACACGGGCGTAGCGGACACGGGGTAGCTTAAGACGATTTCTAATATGTTACGCATTCAGAAAAATTTGTACGTGGAAAGTAACGTTAAAAACGCATAAAAGCCATTTGACAGCTAGATCTAAATCGGTAAATAGCTACAAAAAACAGAAAATTACATGCCACATTGACTTCTCAGCGCACGCCACTGGTGTGGAAATGAAAAACCAGGGTTGCCAGATTGTGTTAATTTAAAAGTAGGAAGGCTCTTATTAAAACTTGAATTCACCTTTGACTTATTTAATTTATCCCTGAATATCCTCTCCAGAAGAAAAATGTACGCCGATGCACTTTGGCAAGCAAAATAGCCAAAAGTCAAAGTGTAGTAAAAGTAAAGTACACACTAAAACTAGACAATTTTGGCGACAACCAATGCAATTTAAACATATAGGCTTCTATTCCAATTCGTTGGACGGATTAAATATTGGTTTGAAGATCTTTTTATAAATTGATTATAATTTGATTGGTCTGGCTGGATTTTATGTGTGACTAACACCTTATACAACTTTCATTCAGTCAAGATTTTTATGGATAGAAATAGTATATACGAGGGATGTCTTTTAAGTTTTGCATATGGAAATAAAACAATACGGTAGCTAGTTTTAAATGACTTTATTGTTTTTCGAAGTATTCTCCACGAAGATTAATACACATCTGCATGCGCTCGAACCAATTTTCGAAGCACTTATTCCACTCGTTTGCTGGCAGATCCGAAACGGCATTTTTGAATGCGCCAACTGCTTCTTCTGGCGACTGGAACCTTTGACCACGCAGTCTGTTTTTAATTTTCGGAAAAGTAAAGAAATCGTTAGGACTTAGATCGGGATTATATGGAGGATGGTCCAATAATTCCACGTTTTCTTCCGTTAAAGACTGCCTTGTTTTTTGGGCTGTGTGCGAGCTTGCATTGTCTTGGTGAAGGATGATTCTTCTTTCGAAGCTCGGTGATGACGTTTGGCAAACAAATGGTGGTATACCAATCCTCAGTAACAGTTCTTTGCTCATTAAGAGGAATTGTTGCAATATGACCCGCTTTTGACACATGTCATCTTTTTCGAAACACTACGAGAACGGATGACTTCTGTTGGCTTTTCTTCACCTTGGAACACCCAAACAGCCGACTGTCGTTTATTTTCTGGTTCATAACAGTAAATCCACGATTCATCACCACTAATAATGCTGTACAAATTTTTTGAGTTTCCGAAATTGAAACGGTCAAGCGTTTTTTTGACACCAATTAACCCTCACTGCTTTCTGCTCTCCAGTCAACATGTGGGGTATCCAACGAGAAACTAGTTTTCTTACTCCTAATTCTTCATGTAATTTTTTTTGAATTGAGGTCTTTGAGATGTTCAAGGACGCCTCAATCTCGCGATATGTCACATGTCTATCTTCAATGATGAGTTTGCGCATAGAATCGACGTTCTCCTGGGTGACTGGCGTTTTTGGTGCACCCACCCTGGGATCGTCGCTAAGACTCACCCACCCACGTTTGAATTCTCCATACCAACGGAAATTGTCGACTGTTGTGGCGCTTCGTTGCCGAAAACAGAAAGGCATTCTTGTTGTGATAATTGTCTCTGAAAGTTGTAATAAATTATTGCGCGAAAATGTTCTGGGTTGAGTTCCATTTTCTAATGACTTAAGCTTCAGTACTGACGTTCGATCCGCGCGGCCTACTATGTTTCTATATGCAAAACGTAAAAGACATCCCTCGTGTTGCGCATTCAAGACGAGGGTGCTAGGTAACAACGCAACTAAAATCGAAATCGATTTGATGTCCAGGTGTACGTACCTGAGAAAACATGATGCAATGCTCAAATATTTCTTGTCATTTGCAATTCAGCAGATCTCGGTATTTTCATGCTACACCTGGCAACTACGGAATATTATCGATAACGTAGAGAACTTTACCGACTGAGACCTCGTTTTATATAGGTGCTACTAGATGGCGCCAGCAGTATAAAAAGCGGAAGCAAACGCACGTGAACCTGTTTGAGATCAACATTTCAAATACATAATCCCTGAAACCGCTTTCAGGTTTTCAGCGTTTCAGGCGCGTTCGTCGGGCAGCGCTTACGTCCCAAAGCTCTTCGTCCGGTTCGCGGTGTGCTTTCGGCCTTAACTGGCGCTTCAACTGTCTTTAAAACAGAAATAAAACTGGAAAGAAGCTCGCGCTGGTTTGGATTACGCTCTTTCCGAAGTTTAGCAGACGTCTAGTGCGGTGGATAGCGAACTTTGTGGTGGTACAGTGACTTTGAGTGTTACTACTGTGATTTCAGATTTAATGGGATATCTGGTAAGAATTCTACCTGTTTGGGGTCACTATTCGACAACAGGTTGGTTTTCAATGGGACTTTATGTCATGGCTTGCCTGAATGGTGATTCGATTTTTATTGATTCTTTTGTTACATTCTTGAACTTCGCATGTTTTTAATGCTTTATCGGTGTATTTTTCAGTTGCATATTTGAATTTTTGAAGCATGAGCGTTAAGTGCGGCTGATATATTCAAATTTTCGTTGCTAAAAGCGAATGTTTTGCCAAAAATTGTGAACGAGACAGACAAAAAGGAATCGTTTAATATTCAAGGATAACTAGATGGAAGTAATTTATGCTCAAGACGATTTGTGAAGAATGTTCTTAGACGGGTATTGTCTTGCTTGTGTTTATAAACCCATAAAGATTTTATGCTTATTTTGTACAGGGAGGAGAATAACAAAGCTTTGGTACAAAAAGAGCAGCTTAGGAGAATAGGTATAAAAACTACATTTTCGGGGATGAAATGAATCGGAAATTTCGGGATTACCTGTCAAAGGAACCGGTAGGCCATGGATTCTCGGAACTTTCGGGTCAAATTTTGTTTTGGTGTTGAAATCAAGTTAAAATAGGCTGCTATGGGGTCAATTCCATATCAAGACTTTGGCAAATTCAACCAGTTTTATGTAAAAAAACGGCATCATATTTCATTTATATTATAAGAAATACTATCATTAGAAGACCTGCGACAAAGAATTGTGAATGAGTGCCTTCAAATTACTCCTCAAATATTGCAAAATGTTTTGACCAAAATCTTTATTATTGCATGGAGAGTCATGGTGCAACATTTACTTGCCTAACGGGTCAGTTCATTCTTCATTTTTAAATTACTTTGCTGCCAAATGTATTGATCTCCACTATTAGTTTTATTTAAGCTTTAAATCAATAAATCTTCAAAACTACTGAACTGAAGTACATTAATTTTATATCACTATAAAGGGTATTGAAAGACCTTTAAAATAAGGTATCACTCGACCCCCCCTTTCCATTTAAGATTTTGGGGGTGTCGTCACCCCCGCTTAGGGGGCTGCACGTGCTAACGTTATTTTTTGCCAAACTTGTGTCCTCCTCGAAAACAAAATCGACGGGTCTGAGCGTTTTTCAAAAAAAAAAACTGAGCTGCCAGTCAATGCGTGTTTCGTTTTCGATGCGCCACCCTGTATATATAGTCTAAGATCCCACCGTTCGGATCTGATCTGATAAAACATGATCCTTATGAATGATAAATAAAAGTAAAATAGATTACGTCAAGGTGTCAATAGTGACAAAACCACGAAGGCACATCTCATGTTTTTGGTGGCAGGATATATGTTTTCAACCCCATTAATTTTACACATCCACACATATTTCACACGTCAAAGGTAACAACCCGACGCTGAACTTTATTAGTCATAGTTTCGAGGAGTGTTTATGACGTATTTGACAGGAGTGGTCCAGCAGCGTTGCCAGATGGTCAACACTTTCAGGGCAATCAAGAAACTAGCATCAGTATAGTATATACTAGTTGAATATGGGCCAGTTTGACTGACTTGATCCATTTATGAACTGATGACACCGACTACCTCCTTGACACCATTTTTTATATATAAGTATACCGGTTATCGCAGTGTATGGTATAATTTTAATCTTATTCCTCGTACTAAAAGCAATACTGGACGACTTCGAAACGAGTATATTCCCTATTTATATTTTGTTTCTGAATGAAATCACGTAGACCGGGTTCAATTTTAGAAACGAAAAATCAATTCGCCACCGATTTGCGAATAATCGCGCAGCTTGCGGCGGGAACCTGGTTGTTTGTGAAATGCCAATAAATAGCGGAAACACAACAACTCAAAAATAACCGCTGCTCGGATAACCTATTTGACTTTACAACTCCGAAGCTGGCCACACACGATTCCTGAACGGATTAATATCGAAAACGGGATGTTATGGTCTTTATTTTTATTTCACATCGGAACCACAAAGCAGAGAACACGATAACCAACGCACCGACAAAAGTCCGCAACCATATTGGTCGATGCCAGGTGGTCGGGGTGGCCCATCCTGCAGCTGCTGTGCCGCAGGAAGGAATTCGTGAAACTCATTTTTTGCTAGCGTGTCCAACGAAGAAGCTTGAGGCACCAAATTATCAAATAAATCCACAGAAACCTTGATCAATTTTAGCAGCTATCTGGAACACTGGGATCGTATGGAACCCACGCACTTTTGTATATTTTCGCAGAATTTATCGTGAAAGAAATATCAAACTCGCCATGGCCAATGACCACGTAATGTTAGTTACAAACAAATCTTTGCACCGAGACAGAGTTGGTATGAATAATAGGAATATTATATTATAGTCACATCGAATGTTACACGGTTTAGTGAGGTATCCAGCATTTAGCGGTCGTGCCGATGAAATATTTATGAGCGCCGCTACAAATGCTAATAAACGCACGAACCGCCACGGCGCATCGTTTGCTAGAAATAATGATGAGTTTCCGTCCGGTGGTAGACCAAGTGCCTGAGTGGTCATCTAAAACAATACACCACACGATTTTATACCGTTTCATTACATTTTATACTGAAAAGTATAATCACACTGCCGCACGTACGAGGATTGTTCCAAAAATATAGTTTCCAGCGCTGTAACTTTGAAATCCGGCAACGCCGTCGTGTTTGTCGGCTCCCCCACCACCGATTCCGACAAGAAGCGCCTATTGGCGACGTTCAGTACCGCCAGGTGCGAAATTCGTGCGGATTTTTACCGATAGCCTTCGTTCACTATACGAGGGTACGGTGAACGGTTCTCGGCTAGACAATGAAAGCGTGGGATTTTCGGTTTAAAAAACGATTTTATTTTTCTGCGTTTTCCGTTTCGATTTCGACACACTTCCGTTTTCCCAACATTAGAATTGCTTCTTGGAAGTGGGAGTCTGGAATACTGTCAAATAACTCATCTATGACCCTCTCAAATTTTTTTTGAACCCGAAGCGCTTGCCAGAAAGACATTCCTTCAAATTTGGGGGCAGATGCAAGTCTGAATTAACAGTTCTACCGTAAATTCTGCAGTTTCCTATTGTTAACACACCGTTGAGAGCAGGTGCGTTGACCAGACGTAAAAATTTGCCTCCCCTACGAATTTAGGCATCAAGCAGTTGATCGAGTGCTCTAAGTTAATCCTGTTTCTGAATCGCCGAGGCTGCTGAGAATTGGCTGCTAATTTTACACGAACGCCCTAAAGAATTGCCTGTTAACTTCACGGTTGACCTGTTCCTGTATTAACCTGGATACGATCAAAGCATGAAGTGGGCAACTACCTTAATAGGTCATTGCACTAAAAGCAAAAATGCAACAGTAGCAAAAAGCGGCAACGTCGCACCGTCCAGCATCCTCGATCGCTTTGCCTTTTGTATGCACGTGGTTGATTCTGCGAAAAACAATGTCGGCCATGAACCGCCTGCTTTGCCTTCTCTCCGCAAGAACAGATGAATGCGCGCTTTGCAGAATGCAGAATCAAGAATGCTTTGCCGCTCAACACCAGGCGAGCAGCTGATTAGCTGGCTTTGCCTTGCGAAACACCTTTTCGTTTGTACAATGATTTTCTTTAACGTTCTTTAATTTTTTTTTCACGGGTGTTATTTATTTTAACAGCTTGTAGAACATATACAGGGTGCGGCAGAGAGGATGGACGGTTTTAAAAAATCAGGTTGAGAGTATCTTTCTCAGCGATTCCCGGAAGGTGGATTGGAACTTCTGAAGTGTCGTGGCCGGCGCGATCGCCGGACTTAACTCCTCTGGACTTTTTTGTTTGGGGTTCTATTACGAGTTCCGCAGTTACGAGAATGTGTAATGGAAGCATTCAATATGATTACACCAGAAATGTTACGTGATGTTTTGAATTCTACTGTTAAAAGATCAGCAATTTCTCGTGGGCGCTTTTATCACAATCTTTTAAAAAAAGAATACCCATTCGACTACGTTGTATCCCAGTTCGAATTGACAGCCGGGTTAGTTTTGTTTAGCCTTTCTTATCAGGTCAAGTCCAGATTCCGCATTATCTGTCTGCCTCTACGTTTCCTTCTAAAAAGTGTAGAGTTTCGATTTCGACATCAAGGAACAAACACTTCTTCGTTTGATGCACTTTGAATCATAAATATTTGTCGGACCGCCTACACCTGCGCCGTTATCGCATTACAAATATTTGTTAATGGGTTTCAACGGTACACGCCGAGATATCGAAGTAAAAATGTACCTGACATATTTCAAAGCTGAGGCACCATTTATTAAGGATTCGAGAATATCAGTATCCTGGAGGGCATTCATTTTGACGTCATCGATAAGAGCGATCCAATTTTACGAGGTTTGCTATGAAAAATGGCCGAAAATGCTGTCAGTTACCTTTGAGACAATCTTGGGATAGTGAAAATTAATTTAATGATTCAAAAGAAGTCAAAAAGTTCATATGAGCCATGGTCCAAAAGTCAATAGAATTTTGTTTAAATGGCAGAAGTTTTTAAAGAATTGTAACGATTGGCTCAATATTTTTTTTTTAATCGACTCAGTCCTGTTACTTTCCGGACAAACCCTGTATGCATCCATACACCCTTCCCATTCCACCCCCAGCCGTTTAACCGCTACAAAAATTGTTCTAAAGACGTCACCAGCCCTTTGAACGCCAAGAAATGATTTTTATGTTTTCTCTCTCACCCCCTAGGCTACGCCCATGGGTAACGTAAGCGGTCCCTCATCCTTCAGTACTGCAACGTCTCATTACTGGCGAACAGGTTCTCAGAAGTCCAGTTTTTCGCCGTACATAATCGATGTATGGTACTGAGAAATAAGGCTAAAAATACAACATCCATTCTAAAAATTGACGCTCGATGAAAATCTGCGGTAATTCGTTCGTGTAAATATTTGAGTAGGAGTGTCGATGGTTCTTGAACAGGTACTATATTTCATCACAAAAGAGTCTGGAAAGCAAAGCTTAACGATAACGGTCAAGTAGATTTAGAACAGAGTAGCAGTCCGCAATATTACGGGATACAAAGAAAGACGAGTAGTCCTGCGGAACCTTACATAAAAAAACAAAGGATAATTGAGGAACATCATTGTAGATGATAGACAAATTATATCACTTTTGTCAAAACAGATTAAGTGCATACAGGGTCAACTTCTGTGCCACCCTGTATAATGAAAAATTGCAAAGCTATGCAATATTTGCGACTTGAGTGTGCAAAAGTTTTGTTAATTGGTGGCTATGTGTCTGGTACACAAGACCCTTCTTAAAACGCCATTTTATCTTTATTCAAAGCTTAACCTCCTCTGCCAGTACTCACTCTCCAGTTGACGAGAAGGGCTAAGTACGTCTCTGCCCGAAATCATACCGCTCCAACAGAAAATGAAATCAGCTGATGCGCTACCGAGCAGACGCAGGCGGCGGTGTAGACCACGAACAGAGGTAACAAATATGACGGCGTTGCCGCGTTTTCAGTTTTTAGGTAAACGTACTTTATAGGTATTGTTCAAAGTTATCGCCGTTTGATTCAAAAACACAGGTGCGTGCACGACGTAGCCAAGCATCGGTGCAGGCTTTGAGAATGGAGTCCCTCCCCCGAATGAAAGTACCAGCTTGTTCAATTTGTCAACCGTATGCACTTCAGTTTTGTACACTAAGCGTTTCATTTCCCCCCAAAGAAAAAATTACGTCCGATCCACTTATTCGGAAATAATTCATTGAAAAACTCACGCACTTCGCGTCTAAAATGGGGCGGTGCACCATCGTGCAGAAACCACATTGATTGTCTTACACTTAATGGCACATCTTCTAACAAGGAAGGCAAAATGTTGCGTAAAAAGTCTAGGTATTGCATCCCGTCCAATCGATTTGGGAGAATAAATGGTCCAATGAGCATACCGTTCACCATGCCAGCCCAAACATTCACCGAAAATGTTTGTTGAAAATGTGCCTGACGGACAGCGTGCGGATTTTCTACTGAGTGTTGCGAAAGTTATTCACCCCTTTACGCGTGAACGTAGATTCGTCTGTCACCAATATGCACTTCAAAAAGTCCGGATTATTGTCATGTTGATGCAACAACCACTCACAAAACCGCACTCTTGCTGGAAAATCGTCAGGTTGAAGGACTTGTACACGTTGGACGTGAAACGGATACAGCCCCTCTTCACGCAGCGTTTGCCACACTTTAGTTTTTGATACTTGCACTTCTCTAGCCACGTCTCTAGTGCTTGTTGAGGGATTCTCGTCTACGCGATTACCTCTACACGCGTGACCGTAACCGTCGGTTGAAGGTTGCATACTGACCTGACACACTGACCCCGACCCAGTTCTGTCGTCGGGTTGAGCCGGTGATCTTGTACCAGTCGGTGATATCGCGGCTACAGGACCGTATTCAGATATTTTTGCGGACACCCTGTATATACACAAGGTTAAGCATATCCAAGTATGCAGCAGCTAAAGCAAATGAACTTCCTAATATGACATTATCTGATTCGTCGCACACCCGATTATGACGATTGTACCTATAATGACAATTATACTGATATAGACTGAATATTGGAGAGACATCTCACCACGCACAGGCTTTGCCTTCTGTGGGTATTTCATATTTATTTGCATGTTTTTTTATTTCACCTCTAACATTTGTAAATGAATTGAAAGCAAATAAATATTATTATTAGTAAGCTCCGCCAACTGTTGAAATATCCTCTACTATGCTTTATAAGACTATACGTGGAATTTTTCCCAAAATCGTTGCACAGCACTTGAAAAAATGCAAATTAAAATTGAATACGTTTTATATCCTGTTTTTTGCAAAATAACAAAAATAGGTACATTTCTACAGGTTCGTATTATGTACAACACCCTGTACGTGATATACTGATAAAACTAGATTGCTATGCATGAACAGTCGTCAAAATAGCTAGAAAATCGGCTTATTATTTCTCTCATTTTCATTGGTCCATTTAAATAACTGACCGTCTTTTCTGAAATGATGAAAATTTGAAATTATATGAAAGTTATACTAATTCTAAAGCACAAAGACAATATTACATCTACAGGGTGTCCGCAAAGTTGGGGTTTTCCTTTTCAGAAACAACTACCATTGAAATAACAAAGGTAATGTGTAGTGAAACGAGGGCGACCAAGTAAAAAAAAATAAAGGAAAAAGTACTCACTCTCCAGCTGACGAGAAGGGCTAAGTACGTCTCTGCCCGAAATCATACCGTTCCAACAGAAAATGAAATCAGCTGATGCGCTACCGAGCAGACGCGCAGGCAAACAAGGAAGGCAAAATGTTGCGTAAAAAGTCTAGGTATTGCATCCCGTCCAATCGATTTGGGAGAATAAATGGCCAAACATTCACCGAAAATGTTTGTTGAAAATGTGCCCGACGGACAGCGTGCGGATTTTCTACTGACCAAACATGAGTGTTGCGAAAGTTATTCACCCCATTACGCGTGAACGTAGATTCGTCTGTCACCAATATGCACATGTTGATGCAACAACCACTTACAAAACCGCACTCTTGCTAGAAAATCGTCAGGTTGAAGGGCTTGTACACGTTGGACGTGAAACGGATACAGCCCCTCTTCACGCAGCGTTTGCCACACTTTAGTTTTTGATACTTGCACTTTCAGTGCTTGTTGAGGGATTCTCGTCTACGCGATTACCTCTACACGCGTGACCGTAACCCGACCCAGTTCTGTCGTCGGGTTCAGCTAGTAGCCGGTACCAGTCTGGGATATCTCGGCGGGTCGCGGCTACAGGACCGTATTCAGATATTTTTGATGTTGCAGAGCCCTTTATCTCGGTTCCCTTAAGACATTGGTGTATATGGTGCTAAGAAAAATTGCTTATGTTTTCAAGATCTGCACGTCGTGTAAAGGAAAACCCCAACTTTGTTTAATGTACCCTTATTTATAAGGCAACCGTTTTTTCAACATTTCAATAGAAATCACCCATATTCAGAGAGCTTTGACAGCTTTCGTCAAATTGCCTTTCGATAAGGTCCTTTCCTATTGGTTCAACTGACCGTAAAATATTAATGTTGGTGAAATCGGCCCTAAAGTGTCTTTATATGATTTTTTGCCAGCCTGTTGTATTTGACAAGAGTCCTATCTTAAGATGCTCACACCGTATACCATATGTTGCTTTCTCTATGGAAGATTGTCCAGTTTTTACACTGTTTCAACTGTATGTATAGTAGTGTTAGAAAATAGATACATTGGAAATGGGTCGATCTATCAAATGTGTAAGTCGTACGTTGCGGTTTTGTACCATAATTATTACCTGTTGAATCAATAGCTATTGTACGTTAAAGACAATGCTGTACGGTGCAGAAGAGAATGTTTAAGGTATTGAGATATCGTGTCCTTTTATCACCAGCGATCTTTTGCATCGTATGTTATTACCATGAAACGTTGACTATTGAAGCATACTTTTTTTAATTGTGCATGGTGAGTCATAATAAAATTCACTTCTGGTTCTTGAATAAAGTAGTCATAAGTTAATTCACGGGGAAACTCGCGCCTTCGTGCTTGTGACGTCACTGTGCGACGTTTATTACTGTACTTATGTACTACAACTATTTAAAACTGTAATGACTCATACGCGTGATCAACACGTGATCAGAGCTCGATCCCGGCTTCCTTCCAGTACAGCCGTATAGCGTACGACATATGTCGTTTCTGTGGCTTTGCGGTGGTCAACAGCACAGACAGAGATGGAAATAATGGCTGATTGTTCTCCGCCGGTAGAACCAATGAAATCAAAGACGCGCCTCGACCGGCAGACTCATAGGCGTCGGCAACGCATTGGAACGTGTTTCGTTGAGCGATCGCATATTGTGTGTTTCTATAAGAATTGTTGTGTGATTGTTATTGTTGTGGTTTCTGTGGTTACTGTTTTGGTTATACTTAACCATGGAGAGTACAAATGGCACGAGTGGAAGTACTGAAAGCCAGGGAACAAGTAGACGGCTTCGTAAAGCACTGAAGAGGGACGCGAAAGAAATCGTGCTCAACGTGTTCAATTATCTGAACAGAACTATGTCGCAGGGAGATGCACTCGCGCATTGTGAAAGTATGACAGGCGTTCCAGAGTGGACCATTCGCAGGGTGGTGCATGAAAAGAAGAAAACTGGAGCTACTACTGATCCAAAGTTTGAAGGGACGAAAGGCCGTTAAATTGGATGACGATAGCAAAATGGCGTTAAGCCGAACCGTACATTCATTCTTCTTTAGGAATGAGATACCAACCCTCAAGGCTGTACATGCAGCGATCAAGGAAAATGAAATTATACCCCAAATGAGCGTCGAGGTAATGAGGAAATCCCTGCATCAATTTTCGTTACGAAACGCGTAATCGGAAGTCAGTATTGATAGAGAGACCTGAAATAGTCGCCTGGCGTCGAAAACACCTACGCGAAATGATTGAATATAGGCGACAAAGCAGAAAAATCTATTATTTGGACGAGACATGGGTAAATGCAGGTCACACAGTTAAAAAAACCTGGATAGACAAAAACGTAGTGAGTAACCGACAAGCAAGCATTGAAGGTTTGTCAACGGGTCTTCGTGGACCGTCAGGGAAGGGTCAAAGATTGATCGTAACTCATATTGGTAGCGATAGTGGCTTTTTAGAAGAGTGTGACTAGATTTTCGTCTCTAAGAAAGGAGGTGATTACCATGGCGAAATGAATGCCAGCTGCTTCGAGAGCTGGTTTCAAGGGGTGCTTCAGCGAGTTGAGCCCAACTCTGTGATCGTCATGGATAATGCTTCCTACCATAGTCGTCGAGCCGAACGTGTATCGACTATGGGATCTCGAAAACGTGACATGCAGCAATGGTTGCGCGAAAAAGGAATCCCGTTTGACGATTCATGTGTGAAAGCGGAATTGTATGAAAACATTAAACAGCACAAACCTGCGAACATTAGTTACGTGACTGATGAGATGGCCCGTCGTCAATGTGGTGTCACTGTGCTGCGGTTACCGCCCTACCACTGTGAACTGAACCCAATAGAGCTCATCTGGGCTCAAGTGAAGGGTTGTATTGCGCGCCATAACACAACCTTCAAATTACCAGACGTTAAGGTTTTACTTGAGACTTCCATACAGCTAGTAACGCCCGAAGCTTGGCAGAATGCTATCCGTCATGTTTTGAAGGAAGAAACAAAAATGTGGCAGCTTGACCACCACATCGACACCATCATAGAGCCAGTTATAGTCAATTTCAACGAGGAAAGCGATAGCGACAGTTTATTACTGTCAGATGTAAGTGAAAGCGACGATGAATAAAGGTAATTCCCAAATTTTTTACTTACGATATGTTTCAAACCACTCTTTATTAAGCATGTGACAAATCTAGTTCACCCATGTTAAACATTCATACCCCGCCTATGAACAGCCGACTACTGGTAGTTAAGTGATGTTCACGTGAACATCGATGAGTCATTACAGTTTTAGATAGTTATAGTATAGTCATTGCGGCGTATTTCTGACATGCCTCAAGGAAAAAGGCACGTCCGTACTTCGGAAGCATCAAAATTTTCTCGAGGTATCCGCTTGATCTTTCCCTCTTCCAAAGCGGGATGTTTTTTTTTTCATGAAAATACCGGCATCTGACAGCGACTGAGTTGTACGTACGCGCTTATCAGTATCATTGTTTGATGAAAACTCGCACGTTTCGATGTGTATTCTTCGTAAACGCGATAAGCCAAACAAAGATAAATTGCGTTAACGTATCATCAAGCTGAAGTACAGTTTTGTACACGGACAAAAAATGAACAAGTGACTAATATTTTTGAACGTTAAAGCTCTACTTCACCACTGATTAAAAGAGAAAACGCGGAGACAAGTCAAAAGATTCGCCAACTTTTTAACCGAAAACTACTAGGGTCATTGTATTAAAATTTTTAATTGACAAGGGGTATCTAGTAATAGCTTGTAAGAAAGATCTTTCAATGTCCGTTATTTTGACGTTTAATTTTTCAAAATCAGTCGATTCGTTTCCGAGATTTCGATCTTTCAAACAAGCTTACTAGATACAACTTGTCGTTTAAAATTTTTAATGGAATGACCCTAGTAGTTTTCGGTTAAAAAGCTGGCAAATCTTTTGACTTCGCGTTTTCGATAAATACGTGGTGTGAAGCTTTCAAACGAACACCCTGTATAGTCTCTCGTTTCTCTTTCCGACGGTCAAGTTAGTGAGTTGAAAAATGAAATGATTCTACGTACAACATCACGGCGCATAAGATTGATGTAACATAAAGGAAGGGCATCGAAAAAACACTGT